CAGATTTACGGTCATTTCTTGGTCGTTGGATTCGCCGTTTCATTTCATTCTGAGGTAAACTGCTGTAGCTGTACCATGGTGGCATTGAATGGCCAAGTGGCTAGGCTAGCGGACACAAAATGGAAAGGTTGCAGGTTCAATCACTGGCATTTTTGGCTAGACATTGTGACCTTGGGAAAGGCACTTTACACAACTTTCTTCACTCCTCCAAGGTGTAAAATGGGTACCTGACTTCCAATACTGTTCCCTAGAAACAGCTCACCACTGCTATGGCCGAAATAAAGGCTATGGAACTTTTCAAATCAACAGCAACCTTTACCTTTTTAACTGTGTACAGCTGGTCCTGTACCTGTAAATGAACATTTTTCTTGGAACACAGCCCTACGTCTTGTTAAATTCCAGCCGTTAGATAGATGTATACCACACAGAAGCAATTAGGCTTAATGCATCTGAGCACGTTTTGCTGTCTGTGCCATTCCAGACACTAAGTGGTTACAGAATCAGAGCATGTCTGATAGCTTTCTCTAATGTTGACACTCAGCCTGCTATGAGTAATGTACAATGTCACCCCATTAAACAAACAATGCTCCTCAAACCCAAATGCAGGCTCTTTTGTTTGTTGCATGGTTTAGGACATTAGTACGACAGTTATAACTCTATGGACACACTGTCGACCATAAAACATCACACCTCTGCGCATCAGCCTATTCATATTAGACGAACCATAACAAATTGACAGGTAATGTTACAACACTTAAACATCATAGGTCTTAGTAAGAATTAGCTTGTTGATTGTACAGTTAGAAATGGACAATTACTGTAACACTATGGACACACTCTCAACAATAAAATTTCAGACTATTTATATTAGGCTATTAATATCAGATGAACCATAATAAATTAATAAGTAATGTGACAACATGCTTCTCCATTAGTAAGAATTACCTTGTTGATTATCCAGTCGAAAATGGCCGACCAGCCAACGGCTTAATGTCCACCTCTTCTTACAGCAGCTGTACATCTCTACTTCTCACAGCTCCAACTGTTGTTGTCTTCAAACTGTAGGTCATCCACACAAGCAAACACACACAGTGTGTGTTTGGAAGCCTTTCTATTCTGCAAACTGCTTTTACGAATGTCAGTCTGTCTTGCTACATCTACAGAGAACGGACAGTAGGCAGTCAACACTGTCTCAAAACACCCAGGACGGAAAAACGATGGACTTTGCGCAAAAAACAGATTAGTGCACACCTGCGCTCTCCAAAATATCCACAGGGGACTTCTCATCAAGCCCTGACCCAGAGTCCTGCTCAAAGCAAAGTCTCATGGGAGCCATAACCATGACAACAACAAGACGTGATGCTTGCCTAATGGAGGACTCTCCTCCGTTACCATGGTGATAGCATAGGGTCAACGGTGAGATGGGAGGGGAAACTGGTTGTGATTGGTCAAGCTTGGGGAGGGCTCTGACCAATCAGGATTAGAGACAATTAATCTAACAGCAGCTGATACCTGGTCACTATTTATAAAGAAGCAAAAAGAGGTTGACCTTTTAATTTCGAAAGAAAAGCAGGACATAATATATATGATCTAATTTTAGAAGATTTGTACCAACAGGATTGAAAGGAGTGCATATATGGATCATATCAAGAATCTAAATATAGCATTTGATTTCATTTCATTTCATTTAGGGTCGTATGAAGTATACCTTAATTGAATGACATAATTCAGGACAATATTCTCAATGCTAACACTGCATGGCACATATGGACTTGAAAATCCTACCTAACCTGAAGGAGAAAAATATTTTTGGTTTGTCCAATGCAATTGTATGATGTGTATGTGTTTGTGTTTCCCAATATACACAATGCAGCCTTGACATATTACATCCTCGCTACAAGACTACAAGTACTGTTGCTTTGGCTGTGAAGATGGAAGGCTTGCAGTAAGGGGTGAAGCCTGCCATCTCTGATTGCCATCTTTAGTACTCTTTGATCAAGCTCATTTGAAATATGATTAATTGTCCCTTAGAGAAATCATAGATTGACATGATAATTACATCATAAACCTATAATTTATTGTACCTGTCATATCATGTTTCCAACAAATATGGATTATAACGATTAATGAATAATAAATATTAAATAAGTAGGCCATAGTAAACCCAACCATACTGTTGAATACGTATATTGTATATTACACTGTACAATATCAGAATCTGATGTTGGGAGTTAGGATATGAAATTATAAGGATTGTGATAGGTTTCTGTGAAAAAATTGTAACAGTTATTTTTACATATCTCACTCAGTGTTTTTTTTCTGTTTTATTCTTCTATACCAGGTAGTTCTGCAAGTATTATCTGTCAGATTTTTTTGTTCTACAAATGTCATGAATTTGTGAACTATTTTTTTACAAATATCTTCACATTTGTAGACAAGATGATCCCTGGCCAAACAATCCTACTCCATGTTCCCAAAGGTCACACTGCTCATCCGCTTGATGAGTCATGTTGACATGCATGAGGCTTTCGACATTAATCTTGTAATTATAGGGCACAGTCAGGGCAACCAATCATAAAACTCTGAAAGGTTGAATCATGTCTTATGACTGTGATTCATCCTACATGGCACTTAATAAATATATGAAAAATGCATCCAAAGAGATCTCCTGGGCAATATCATCAAATACATATGATCAATGACACAACAATCTATACAGATGAACAAAGTCATCTTTCATAGAAATATCTTTTATTTACTACATATCATATTTATTTGATAAGGTACCATAGTAGGTGCAAACCAGTCAAAATCACAGTCACAAACAAGTCACAATCCAAATAGATACTCCCAAATGATTAGTAGTAAACACAACAACCACCTAATATTTGCATACAAAACCTCAATGCCTACCACACGGCCTATTCCACAGGATTATAGAAATAGGAGTGTTTCTGAAATATGAATTTACCTCAATATGAAAACTGATGCGGTGAAAAGAAAACAATGTACGTCAATTACAGAGACATACAACAGACACAACCATATTTTTTAGCTGCGAACACATTAAAATCAGCCCCGATACATAAACAAAGGCACACAGCTGATTCTGATCACTGACCCACCCCAATATCTGCCTGAAGGAAACCAGTCCGTCCCGCTATTCTAAACAACGAGTTGGCCAAATGTGCCTCATAAATGTAGGGGTGCATCTAAAATAATAACCACGAAAACAGCTATGGTAAAAATAAAAACACAATTTGCATCATCACAGGCATGCCTGCTGACAACGTACAAAATTACTTGCCAATTAAACAAGGGGAACCCTGTGTTTTAGCTGCGAACGCGAAAAACCGACTGACCACAATACTCCTGCAGGAGGGATACCTCATTCACGGAGTAAAAACAAGTCATCTTACCACATGCATATAATGTCCTTGTCTAGGATGACTTAAACTCTAAATGGTGCATAACTAGGGTGCTGCACTAGATATCTCTAACCCAGTGGATAAATGTGAATGCAGGATACATGCTCCTGGAAAATTAAATTGTCTGTACAATACCATAGATATACCATAAAACCAAAGTGTGCATATACTGGCTGTGCCTCATAAACTGCACAGTGAATATAATAGTGCTGTAGAGCCCTCAGGAAATAGCACCATTCAGCACTAATGCCATGTTTGCACTGTAATGTTGAGTGCTGGTCACCGATCACTGATAACCTATAGGCTAGCTACACATGCATGAAGATGAATGTCATTCAGTAACCTTCACCAAGAAGGTTATGTTTCTGGTGGTGCTTGTGGTTGTACGTTAGCACACACAATAGCAGCAGAACTGGACAGATGTTAACAAAAAGGGACAAATTTGATCAGGTAGACCTCCTAGCAGCAGATACGGTAACAGTCTACTACTAAGTCAATAACCGGTTGACGGATCATTTGTTGTAATTCTATGTAGTTAGTAATGCTTGACATATTTACTAAATTAGATGACAATTATGCAAATAAGGGTCTAATTTGCATAAAGAGGAAATGCAAGGTACATTTTTAAGAGAAATGTGTGCATGGCTGACTCTAAACAAACTCGCCCAAAGGTTGCTGACAGTGGGACGCTGGCTTCAGGGTTGAACTTGACTTACAATCTAGAGGTTCTGGGTTGAAATAACAGGTCCCAATGTTTTGCCCTGGGGATTTTTAAGCACTTAATGGTGCACACTCTATGACAGGGATGCTGTGACAGTTTTGGTGAGGGCCCAAGTCTGAACTTCGCGTTTCTCATAATCTTCTGTGGAATGAGATACTTAAATGGCTAAAAAGTGTGAGAAGTGTTTTTCTGGTGGGTGAAAATTGATTTTAGTCTGGAGCCTTACATCTGGGTGTTCTTACTTCTGTGAAAACTTGTGAAAACAACAAGTACAGGTATTTCACAAAACAAACTTCTGAATTTTAGGAAGCTTACACTCCAGGACCTGTTCTCTGATAACACTGCCAAAGTTCTTGACTAATTAGTGCTCCACTCGTCGGTAACACAAGGTCTGTTCAAGGTCGTAACAGACCATGCTTCTCTAGAGGGCGATTGTGTAGATTAGCCATATTAGAAGCACCCAATCCCCTAAGCTTATAGGTTACAAACATCAAGCATCTAGAAGAGGATCAGAAAAGTGGAGAGCAAGTCAACCAGGCTCAGGCAAGTCTGCTACCACAATGAAAATAGATACTGTAACAAGAGAAATTCCCAGTCGTTTGTAGTCTTCATTCATCACACTACAAATTTAAAATCTTATTCTGTATGGCTTTCAACCTAGATATTAAAATGCATTGAACCATACCTTTCCCCTCCTCCACGAAATTAGACGTATATAGTATGGTACATTGTACTTAAATCAATTTACAGTATAGTAGTAGATATATGATTACCAGGCAAAATTTACAAAATTACAATTTCACAACAGCTACCCTCCCTAACATTGCTACAATGCACACATACACTCTTACCTTTCTCTGGTACGAAGCACCTTCGAAACCACTGCACAACCCGGGAACATCTTCGATATGTCGTAGAATCCTTTCTATGAACCAAAGGTTGCTGGCCATCCTGCTCCTTAGATGGGGGTCGGTATTTGTAGGGTAAAGAGTTTTCCTCCTTTTGTGTTGCCTTCCGTGACCGCTGCATGGTGAACTGTCTCCTCTGTTATTACATGTACATGTAGGTCTGTACTCTATCAGTACTCACTCACTCAACTGGATCATCCAATGTGGCAAGGCACAGAGCCTCTCTCAGCAGTTCCGAGTTGTGGTTTTTTTCTTTACTAGTACTCTGGCTACAGCAGCAGCATAATAAAAGCCAGGATCCCCATCGAATATTGTTTCCTTTTAGAGGAAAGACAGCAGGAAAACCTAATTGTTATATAGGCGGCAAACAAGTACAACAAGTGTACTCAAAAAATCAATGACAGAGTACTACAACCAGTTGCACAGTCAGTATGGAAGCCGCTTCCCATAAAATACTTCAAGTTTTCCTCTGCGTTCTTCAAGCGAAGCTCCATAAACATAGCCTGTAGAAAAGTAACCTTAGCAAATGACCCGCACTGTGTCAATACGTTCAACACAATGGCGTAAAAGGACACCTGTACTGGAAACACTATCCTTCACACAGCTGCACGTGTATACACCACCCACAGCCACATGTGGGCTGGTACCTTCTGGTAATCAAATGAGCAGGCCCCTCTGTCCAATGCCTGATTTAACAAAATAAATGTGAGCCTTCCTTTATCAAATCAACACATTACTGATTCCGGATGATCCATTACAAAACAGTTGGTTAAACGAGTGGGCCTCTCACAATTGATCAGAGATGAGCTAAAGCATACGACGCCCTGGGGACGTATACCAAGGTACACAGGTCAGCCCCTGATACAGCTCATCCAGTTGGTACGACTTGACAAGGTGACTTCAATGTTGTTCAGTCACAGACCGTCGAGTAACAAGTGTGTGGATGCAGAACATGAACAGCCTACTCGTCATCATTTGCATCTGTCATCAAACCTCTCTGGTAGGCTCCTGGGAGTCTGAAGTACAGTCAGTGTGGGACAGATTATAGCCTGTGCTGTTGATAATGACAGCCTTCAGATACAGGGAACAGGCAACAGGAAAGTCACAGTATACATGTCATGTAAGGATATTGTGCTTGCATGACCGAAATCTCCTTGGGGATTGACATGATTCAAATTAATTTGGGAAATTAGAAAACTGAAGTCCCTTTAACATTTCTCGAGATATAACGTTACAATCTTTCAAAGGTTCCAAATAAAAAAAGTCTTTAGTTACAAAACAAGCTGTAGTGTAAGGGGGCCCAAACCTACACCAATTTTCCTGGCTACAGATAATGAAAATCTAAAAATCTGTCTTCCCAAGACCTTAGCCTAGACTCTACATAACACCTATGAGAACAATCCATCCATAGCCTGTTGAGTTATGCTTGCCAAAATACATGGAAACATAGACAAACAGACTGCAATTATCATGACTAAAACAAAATTTACAGAAACAACATTCTACTATCCCTTCATGCCATGTTGTATAAAACTGATTTTATGTAATAATCAGTATCATTAAAGCAGAATTATGATTAAGCTACAAGTGTACAAGTCCCCAGACTTGGTTTTTAAGTTAGTATTTCAATCTAGCGTTATTATCTTAAGATCCGAGAACCAACAAATAAAATAGGTGTGGCCCAATATTTCAAAAACAACATCCATGATGGAACGTGTTGCTAACAGCTTGAGAAACCGTTGCCTAGCAACATTCACGTCACCCCTGGTGGAATATCACTCATCACCACGGCAACTGTACATATGAGGAGGGGGCAAATACATTAAGCAGTGACTCTGTAAGAGCCTGGTGGAGTAATATCTCACAGTCCCATTAAAACCACCCTGTTTACAGAAATACACGTCACCCTGTGTTTGAATAGAGGGCTGCTGTCACCAGGGAAATAAATGAAAGAGTCTGCAAATAAAAGAGGGTTTGCATGCCTTTTCTGTTTCCATTTTGGGTCCAAATCATTGCATGCTGTGCATTATACATGTAAGCCAGCTTTTATTCAGAGTTAAGTGTTGGCAGTGATAACATAATTGGTCACTCTACATTTGTGGTACCATCATGTTATTTGTTATCCTGAATTCATTGTTAGGCATTATATTGACATTATCCTAGACAACCAGGTCTAACTCAATGTTAAGTTTTCATAGAAAATTATTTGTGAAGCATAATTGTCACAGTGACTTCAATTCTACGCACCACAATATTATCCTGAATTCATTGTTATGCATTTATTTAGTGACAAAATTGTACCCAACCAGCTCTAACTCAACGTTAATTGTTGATGGTAGATTACTTGTGAAATGTAAGTAGTCACTTTAGTTCTACATACCACATTATTTGTTATCCTGAACTCATCCTTAAGCATTATTGACAAAATCTTTGAAGCCAAACACCAGATTGCCCCAGAGCTAAGGAGATGAGAGATGAATCAAGTTGTGAGAATAATCCTGGGAATGCTTCACTGTCAAAGGACTATAATGTACATAACATACATGTTCTGAAGGGACCAAGGTTTTTGACATTTGTCTGGGAAGTAATGCGATCAGTTTAATCCAACCTTTAATTTGTCCTTCCCTGAGTTATTGTTGCTAATAACGGACATTAATTATGGCCATTCGGTCATTTTGACAGGTAATATTGGCATACATGATATGCAGAAGATTAGAATTAGGTCAAACCATACCACAAGGTCAGCATGCATTTGGTGAGATGAATTTTGCACTTCTGTACCCTCTAGTCTTGCCCTTTAATTTAACAGTCTGTTAACTTTTACATCAGTAATGGATCACTAGATGGAGTTTGCCTGTAACATTCATCTGTGTTCACAGCACATCTGTAGGTGAGTGTTCTGAAAATGGAAAATGGTGCCCTTAGGCTATAACAAGTTAACGTCTTGGTTACTGGATGCTTGTAGTAAAATGATGGAGCAGGCAGGTGAGATAACAATGAACAAAACTGACACGATCCTGTGATACATGCAGATCCAATGAGCTGCAATGTCAACAGACCAGGATCGCTAATGTTTCAAACAACAAACTTACCATTTTGATGCATTCATTAATGGAAACACTGTTACAGTAGAAAGTAAGGAGGACAAGGACTTTCTTTGACAGATGCTGGCTAGAAAAGAGAATTTGTGGTCATTGCTTGATATCTACAGAGAAATACAATTGCATACTATTGTATTAAGTACTGTAACACTAACACCAGTAAAGGACAAACTTGGAAGTTGTCATTCTGTACATTAATTTTCTTTTCATAATCTTTATGAGTGCATCAGTTTGGTAATTCCCCCTCCAAGGGAAAGTTGGCAAGTTTCTACAGCTTTCACTTCCAGTACAGCTTGTGAGGCGCTCAATTCAGAAAACCAATCTCCGATCACTCATCTGTAAAATGTGCATTTTGGTCTCTTATGGAGCCAAGAGAGGCTCTGATTAGTGAGAAAAGTTCCCTCATTGAGGCAATTTCATTCCGATTGCAAGTTTGGCTACTTTTGGGAATGTCTTTATCTACTTGAGTGCTAGACTGTTAGGGGGAGTATAATCTGAATACAGAGTGCCATGGCCAATGTGAAGCATACGTACAGTCATGTGTTTGGATTGGAAAAGATCTCTTGTGGTAGCATTTAGATCCTGTGGAGTAAGCATTTAGATCTATCAGAAGATTCCTGTTCCTTTCTCTTAGTTTAATTTTTGTTTTCCCACCCAGCCTCATTTATTTCCTGCAAATATCCGAGAACCAAGAAGTCATATTGGCATGTCCTGATGAAACATACATTCTAGCTGCGAGCAGTCAGTTGTCCTTGTTCACACCACTGAAGGGCATATTTGACAGTACAGTGAGACGTTCTGCTGATCCACAAATCCAGCAGGATCTACCTCGTCCTTCCGTTTCATCTCCCTGGAATTTTTTAGCACTTTTAGCGGCTTTGAGTTTTATTTGTCATTACACAGCAGTTACATCAATTGCTTTGGGATTGCCTTGCTTACATTTCAGTATCTAGCTAAGGGTTTTACATAACCATAAACCTTTGACAAGTTTTGTTTTCCCAATAACTACGAAAATGATGCAAAACATACCACTACCAAATATGAAATCTCTATAATTTACCATTTCTTTGGCAACCTAAGGCAGAAATGCCCACTGACCTGGATTAGCACTAGTATCTGAGTTTAGGCCAAGGAACTTATAGCTGTACAGCCAAAGTGATTGTTCCAGTACATAACAGACCGAGTCAACTTACAAAAGCTCCCTCTTTCAGAGTTGACTAGCACTGCATCCTATAGAGTACACATGGAATCATACAGATATAACCTATACAGCTAAGGTACTGAAACACTATCTATCAAAACTGCTATCAAACCGGAAATATACAGCTAAGGTACTGAAATGCTATCCATTAAAACTGCTATTAAACCAGACCTATACAGCTAAGGTACTGAAACACTATCCATTAAAACTGCTATTAAACCAGATCTATGCTAAGGTACTGAAATGCTATCCATTGAAACTGCTATTAAACCAGACCTTTACAGCTAAGGTACTGAAATGCTATCCATTGAAACTGCCATTAAATCAAACCTATACAGCTAAGGTACTGAAACGCTATCCATTAAAACTGCTATTAAACCAGATCTATACAGCTAAGGTACTGAAATGCTATCCATTGAAACTGCTATTAAACCAGATCTATGCTAAGGTACTGAAATGTAATACATTAAAACTGCCATTAAACCAGACCTATACAGCTAAGGTACTGAAATGCTATCCATTAAAACTGCCATTAAACCAGATCTATACAGCGAAGGTACTGAAATGCTATCCATTAAAACTGCCATTAAACCAGACTTATACATCTAAGGTACTGAAACACTATCCATTAAAACTGCTATTAAACCAGGCCTATACAGCTAAGGTACTGAAATGCTATCCATTGAAACTGCTATTAAACCAGATCTATGCTAAGGTACTGAAATGCTATCCATTAAAACTGCTATTAAACCAGACTTATACATCTAAGGTACTGAAACACTATCCATTAAAACTGCTATTAAACCAGACCTATACAGCTAAGGTACTGAAATGCTATCCATTAAAACTGCTATTAAACCAGACCTATACAGCTAAGGTACTGAAATGCTATCCATTGAAACTGCCATTAAATCAAACCTATACAGCTAAGGTACTGAAATGCTATCCATTAAAACTGCTATTAAACCAGATCTATGCTAAGGTACTGAAATGTAATCCATTAAAACTGCTATTAAACCAGACCTATACAGCTAAGGTACTGAAACACTATGCATTAAAATTGCTATTAAACCAGACCTATACAGCTAAGGTACTGAAATGCTATCCATTAAAACTGCTATTAAACCAGATCTATGCTAAGGTACTGAAATGTAATCCATTAAATCTGCCATTAAACCAGACCTATACAGCTAAGGTACTGAAACACTATCCATTAAAACTGCTATTAAACCAGACCTATACAGCTAAGGTACTGAAATGCTATCCATTAAAACTGCTATTAAACCAGATCTATGCTAAGGTACTGAAATGTAATCCATTAAAACTGCTATTAAACCAGACCTATACAGATGAGGTACTGAAATGCTATCCATCAAACTGCCATTAAACCAGAGTCTAGTTACCCATACCCTGAAACACTATGCATTAAAACTACCATTACACCTGACCTATACAGCTAAGGTACTGAAACATTATCCATTAAAAACAGCCAACAATTGCTATTGAAAATGTCATGTCTTCACAACCAGGGAAGTACATGTACAACAGTGCCTTTCATTTTCAATCCTGAATAATTCATACGCAACGTTTCAGTTGTCTTTTCCCATCTCACT